GCTGAAGCTCTCCCTGTTCTTCCCCTTGTGACATTTATTTATTCTAATTCTCAGGGCCTCAAAGACTTGTGTTTGTTCTCTGTCACTCATTAGCATGTGTGGGATTGGAATCTGTGGGATTTCTCTGTTTAAAAACACAATGTTTTCTTCTCCAAAGATGTCAAGCTCACGAAAGTGTTGATTTGTTTTAATGACATACGTTGAAGTAGAAGAATGATGAACAGTACTTCTCTCTTATCAGATTAATGATCAATTACGTGGACGTCATTTATGTGCTCTACGTTTGCTCTGTTTCACATGCTGTGCCCAAGCATAGCACGGCTTTAATTTACTGGTTTTCTGCTGGTAGGGCACTAGGTAGTGTGTTTTTCATGGCACAAGTCAAATTCAGTTTAACTTGTTCTTTTTAACTCTGAGGGGATCTCTTCAAACATTTCTAATTCCCATTCTGGTTCTTCCAACAGCATCTCTAACAAACAGAACTCATTTGCCTTAAGAGTCCGTAACACAACTGTGTGGTGTGTTTTGCCCAGCATATTGCCTAATGCATTTTAATTTTCATCTAGAGAAGCAGAAATTGTCTCCTCAGATATTTGCAGCAAAGATTACACTGGCATAAGGCAAAATGAGAAGTGTGCTCAATTGTTTGTCCTGCGCTGTCTTGGGAGGTAACTTGCTCCCAAGTAAAAAGCTTCTTGCTTTTAACATGCTGTAGCTTCTTGGTTATTTTTAGCAACATAGATTGTTCTTAATACTAAAATGCAGACCTGAAAAAATGAAATCGAATGTCAAATAAGTTGAGATGATCATCTGGGCTACCTTTGTATGGGACTATATGAGAAAAATGTCCAGAGAAGGAAAAAATTGTAGAGAACTTGTAGCTGAGGCTCTCCCTTAGGCTCCAAAATCAATGGTGAGGAGCCTGAAAGTTTGTGATCTGATGGGTGAGTTAGTGCTGGTTTTGGTAAAATGTCCCAGAAGCTGAGATGCTGGAATCTTTGATACGTTTAGATGCCCCAACGGAAAAGCAGCAGGATGAATTCCGTACAAACTCCTGTGTCTGACTACAATCTGCCCAAAACTTCTTGGTTTTGACCACTCAACAGTTTCCAATGAAAATCTCTTTTGTTGGGCAATTGCCCAGTAAGTGTAATAAGATCCATATTGAACTGTTGACATGATAACATATCAACGATTAATAGCTCATTGCTCAAGTGGATAAAAGGACTGAGAACATCTACAAAAGGCTACGTTGAACTCTGTCATTCATTTGATGAACGGCCTGAAGAATGCCAATGTTGTTATTAAAGACTTGCTGACTCCATCGAGTGCTCTCCTGTCGGCTGATTCTGCCCAAATATCTCCACAGTCCTTATTGTCTTCTGTTTGTTTTCAGTCGCACAGACTTTTACATGAAGACAGAGTGGGTTTTGCCCGTGAGTTCATCTGCTTCTCCGTTTGGTCGCTGGCTGAACTCCTATTCCCCCGTGACATCATTGTGTTCCTCGCTTCAGCTCTCACCCCCCGGGATCGGAGCATCTTTTATTTGTCCTCTCTGGATCAGACAGGTGGAAGAGCACTGCAGGTCCCCTGCAGAGCCTGTTTTCTAGCTGAATTGATGTCCGAATTGAAGCTCCTGGCTCTAGACCCCCTGGAAATAAATGCCAGCTGGGGTGCCAGTCACAGCAGTAGCCACAGTGGCTGTCAATTAATAACAGGAGGGGCTAAACAAGTCTTCATCTGTCTTTGCACAAATATCCTTCACAGCATAGTGGGTCAGGCGAGGAGAGACCACACGATAGGCAGGCAGGATTAACTTGGAAATGGACACCCTAAAAATTAGTGCAGCGGGGGTGTAAAGCAATGAGGGATCCTCTGGAACAGGACTGAAAGGTCAAGATAGGTTTTTTCTCCCAAAGCCAAAACTAATTTGACATACATGAAAGGACCTTGGCTTGCATACCCCTACATATATATTGTAAGTATATTATACATATATAACACGGGTAGGTATGTATTCGAGGTTCACATTCAAATACTACAGGTACTGTTAGTAGAGTCTAACTGTTAAAAAAAGAAGGAGATTCAAAGGATTTAATAATGAGATTATTTCTTTCTAGATTCTTCCTTCCCTGACCAGGCAGGAAGTAAGAAATGTCAGCTTAAGGAATATTAAAAAGATGATATAAACTGTCTTCTCATAATATCTTAATTTTTGTAGTAAAGCACTAGGGACTTGCAGAGTCCTGTAAGACATGCAAAGAAGCTCATTCCTGCATGGCAGAAACATGGAGCTGCATAAAGAACACTCCAGTAACCTGGCTGTGTAAAAACCTTAGCGAAGAATCTAATACAGGATAAGTTGGCTTATTGCAGCCTTTTTTTTTCCATCATGGTGGCTCCCCTGGGTGCATAAGAGATTGAGAAAGAAGCATGAACTTAAACCCTGACAAGGTCAATATCTTTCCAAGGAACAGATGGCCACAGCTTTGCCTCCTCTTTCCTTTATGGAGTTTTGGGACCAGGGCAATGTTTGGGGATGGTGCGGTTTAGAGCACAAGGCTCTGTTATTTCAGACTTGTAATGTGATTTTCAGTTGTGTAACTCTGAAAGTGGAGAATGGAATTCCAAGAGATATAAGAAGGCAGGAGCTGCATTACCACAACTACAGAACAAATGGTGACTTGGAAGACACTGTCATGAAAGAACCTGGAGGTTTTAAAACTCACCTCTTGAGTCACACAGCATATGGTGCTCAGAAGAGCTTAAGAGGTTAAGAGCTACCTAAATAAAATATTCACTGTCCAGTAGCCCTGGAGCTCATTACCCGTAAATACTACAGGGTTTATAGGTATGCCAAGGAGGCAGAGGAGATGAAATGTACTTCTGCCTTCAGAAGGGGAATTAATGTAATAGCATTCATTCCTTTTATAGATAGTACTGCTATTTAGGAAGTCCTAAAGTACATGATGTCTTTGCTGATTAAATTTCCTGTGTAAGCAAAATGTTCATGAAGTTACATAACTTCATTTTTCTCCCTACCTCATTGCTGGCAGCAAAAGCACGGGTTTCTGGAGCCCTCCAGGCCTTGCTTCCTCTCCACTTCAGTCTCCACTTCTCCTCACTAAAAGCAAGGAGTAAAGAGTGGAGGGAGAGCAGGGGAACTCTGAGAGAAAGAGTAGTGCTGTTGCAATAATTCCTTCCTTCAGCACCATATGCACTTCTTGCCTTCCTCTTCCATCCCTCATCAGGTTCCCTGTGGGCCTGATGCTTCCCACCTGAGGTCATTCATGCAATCCTGACTCAACGAAATGGCCAAAGTCACTTCCCTTTTTATCCCTGGTGAGCTGAGCTGAGAAACCAACGCCGCCTCTTCAACTGTGTTTGAGCCTCCAAGATGTCTCTTTTCCTCCCACTTGTGCCTCACAGTCTCTTTCCCACATTGCAGAGCCCCTTTCCCAAAATGTAACCATTGGTGGGTTGGTGAGTAGAGACTGTCAAGTTGTGAGACAAACCTTTGGCCAGAGGATGTCAGACAGGCATCCTCTGCATCCTCCTCTGCAAACAGTTCAACAGAAACAATTGTGCTGGGGAGCGTTTTGGGCATGTCCTCCAAGGGAAAAATTATAGGGGGTAATTTTGCTGCCTCTGGGCTTGCTTATCTGACTTTTGTATCCCTTTGTGGTACAGCAGGCCCTTGCTCTGTTTTTTTTTTTTTAGCCAATTTAATGGGTGATTCAGGGCAAGAGGAGTCTATTTCAAAGTTTCCATATTAATTATTATGAGTCAAAGTAAAAATGAATATAAGATTACTTGTTTTGCTCAAGTGACACTGTCCAATCTGATTAATAAGTACCCTTCTGCTGACCTCAAAATATGCTGTAAAACTTCTTCAAGATAAGGACCAAAAAATGTACCAAGACACTTCTCCTGTTCTTGTATTTGTTTATTGTACTTCTGCTCCAATTTCCTTTGCTGCCAACGGCTTTTAAATACAAATGAGCAAACTGTGGGCCAAATTAAAGGAAAGAACAACGATTTTTAAAGAAAATGGTGGGAGCTCAGCAGTGGAGTGCATATGAAATCAAAGTTTTATTGTGCAGAATTTTGTAATACAGAGATTCCCTCTCAACAGATGGATCCTTGCCCAGCTGTGTATAGAGAGGTGATGTCCTCATGGCTGAACCCTTTGGTCCACTGGACTTGGATGGGAGAGCTTAAAACATCCTGTGCAGGGTTTAAAAAGTCAAAAACCAAAAGCTGTTAGCGCCAGGGAATCTTCAATCTGGAAATTAAGAAAAAACATCCTGTGCAGGGTTTAAAAAGTCAAGCCCAAAAGCTGTTAGCGCCAGAGAATCTTCGATCTGGAAATTAAGATAGGGGAAAAAAAAGTCACATGGGGAGAGGAGACACTTCTGAAAAAGGCTCTAAAACACCGCTGGTTTTCGTCAGTATTCTGCTAGCTATTATCTTGCATTTTTGAGTCTCTTGGCATGGGGTGATGCAAATCTGCTGCATGGCTCTGGGAGCAGTGAGTGAGAAGCTCAGCACACTCTGGCCGCTCATTTAGAGTGAAAGCTGGAGATACAAACCATGCCACAAGCCTTTTGCCTCAAGAATTGAGAAAAGCTGCTCTTTTGTCCCATTCTGCCTCTCCAGGAATCAGCAGCAGCCCTCTCTCAGACAACACATGATGGAAGAGTCAATGTTCTCTTCAGTCAAAGCCTTTCTCTGTAGTGCCGTTTGTCTCATTTTTGGCAGCGATCAGCAGTTTTGCTCAGTGTACGTGGGACACTTGCTGCAGACAATTTACAAACATCAGGGGAAAGAAGGGAGTTGGTGGTGTTTTTGAATTCCCATCAGTTCTTCTTGTTTTTGTTGCTTCTAATGAGTAGCTGAAAAACAAAACGAGTGTTTTATTTCCTGATGAACACAAATATTTGTCCAAAATAACTTAAATTGTTTATTAACGTGACTCCATTTGAACATTTCTTTTTTAGGAGCCATGTGAAAGCTTTTATTTCTTCCATGATGGATATTTGTCATCAGCTCATGTGAATGTTTTGGCGAACCAAAGGCTGGATTGTTCTGTTTTGCTTGCTCGGATTGTGAAATGGGAATATCCGTAACATGACAGGGCATGAAAGAGCCTGAAATGAATTAAGGCTGTACTTTAATGAATGGGCTTTTCATCTAGTGGATTCTTTGTAAACAACTGTGGTAAATCCACTTTCAGCAAATCCAAAGGATGGTTGACACATGCATTTCATACGGGTGGCTCCTAGCAGACTAGAAATGATGATGCATCGTTACAGATGGACCATTTTTTCGGCAGATGAGTGTTCTTGCTATCCCATTTCAGCTGGAAGAACTGCTCTGGTGTAGAGCCAATACAGTATGTACTGTGTTTCATCTGATTATCTCAACTCAAAACCTGGACAGATGAGAACATTCTGAAGCTGGATACTCCAGGGATCATCCAACCGACGCGGATCTCTCAGCCTTCACTGGAAAGGGGGCAGGTTTCTACCTGCTGAATTATTTGGTAAGTTGGGCTGAAGGTAACTGAGTCAATGGATATTCTATGCTGAAGGTGGAAAAAATTAGGCAGGCATATGCAAGTAAAACATGTGGTAATGCCCCGTGATTCATTCAAAGCTGTGTATTTATTCAGATGAGGAATTGGTCTGGGCAAATAATGCACCTGACTGGTTTTCACTTTTTGAACCATAACAAAGATAACACCTACAACCCATCCTTAAGAGAAAATTAAAGAGGTCTGTATCCAAATGTAAGTATCATGGAAAATGTTGTGACTGTGCATCTGTTGTAAGTATTTGACAACGCTGAATTTTGCCAAGACAACTGTGCCAAAAAATGTGGGTCATTAGAAAGCAGGAGCTGTGAGGAAGCACAGGCAATAAGTTGGATCATTTTGCTCTGCTGATCTTTTCAGGAAGGAGAGCAGTTGAGGGCAAACGTACTATTTGTTCCTTAAGGGATTACTAACCCACTAGAAACAGAACCTGATGTACATCTAGCCACCTAATTTCTCATGCTGGCGTAGGCTTATGTCCCTTTTTGCTTTCAGACACATCTCACAGAGTATGACAGTTTGCATGGGAAGAGTTCAAGGCGACTGACGCTCGCTGTGTGCTCCTCTTCACTCCAGAGAGCACTGGAGCTGAGCCCTGTAATCACAACCCCAAATAAACATCTGGGATTCCTGATTGCCAGCGGGTTCCTTGGAAAGTCACGTACACCCAGTGCTAGTCTGGAGAAATGTTTTTGTGGGATATGTGGCAAGAACACTCCTCATGATACCTGCGCCCCTTGCCTGTGTCCACTTTTTATTGTTGAAAGTACTAGCATGATTTTCAGCCCCTGGTGATCCCTTTGTGTCAGATTTTGTATTAACCTGCTGTTAGCTTCCAGTTCCAGCTGCAGGCACTGAGTCATACCTGTAGAAACACCTCCTACCGCTCGGTGAGGCAATGGACTGCGAACGAACTTACCGTCATCAATCAAAATGATTTCCCAAACTTGTTCCTGGCTTTTGTTGACCCTGCGTTTTCAGAGCTGAGAATGCGAAACGCAACCTCTGTAGCTCAGGGCCGAAAGTTTGGATCAGATCAGAGACACTGTTCCTTTGCACTCAAGAGAATAATTGCCACCAGCTCGCTGGTGGGACTACCTGGAGAGGTAAAATATAAAAATCCTTGCACGGGTAAGCAGAAACTCCATCTTTGCAGATCTTTTAAGCTAATTAAGTAGGTGGTTGAATGTTTCCAGGAGGAGCGCATGGGGAGATGTGAACACAGCAGAAGACAACTTCTCTTGACTTTTTTTAAAGGATGCTCTGATTTTTCAGTCTAACATTTGCACAGCGCTTGCTGGGCATAATAGCAGATATACCTAATGTGACTGTAGGTTTATCCTACATTGAAAGGCACCAGCTGGTACATCACATACATTAGAGTCTGTCAGTGCATCAGTGACCCTATTAGTGTGCAGTAAACAGATGCATACCCTGGAAACATTCCCATCTCCCTAACTATGTTAAGTCTGACTCTTTCCATATTTAATAACAAGTCATTATGATAGATAAGGCACAGAGGATACAGAATTCAGTCAAATGAGTGTTTCAGGACTAATTTAACCATGGTAAGCAAGGGGTTAACATGGAAATTAGATGCCAGAGTAGACATGATAAAGCAATTTATCAAATTTAGCAAGAGTGTCCATTCTAGTCTGACCATGATGTAGACTGACGCTGAACTGAAGGTTATTGACCTGGCCTGGTTCACATCTGACGGTGCTGATCTTGAGAGCAAATGAATTCTGGTGCCTGTGGGCTTGTAGGGCTTCCAGTTTCTCAGCAGATAAGCATTGGCTGGCCTTCTCTTTCAGACTGGATTGTGCAAACACACCCCTAATGATTCCCACGGATCACGCAACTGGAATGAGATGGGCTGCTGGAAGCAGCAGTTACTGAGATCTGGCACTGGTCCTCTCTGATTGTGTGGGACACGGTGAGTACTTGCACGTGCATTAACTACACACGTGTCTGCTTCCACCCAAGCCTATGAGAGAGGAAGGCTCAGGCAGCAGTGCCCTATGGCACAGGGCATTGAAACACTCGTTCACACATCTGGATCCATCTAACTTTAAATTTTAGATGCCTAGATATTACCAAGGAGTTTTTCCCCTTAAGCTATGGCCTGTACGTGGCCTGGCTAAGAGCCATGTAGAACCATAGAATGACAGAATTGCCAAGGTTGGAAGGGACCTTAACACATCATTGAGTCCAACCATCAACCTAACACTGACAAAACCCGTGTCCCTCAGCACTACATCTACACATCTTTTAAATACCTCCAGGGATGATGATTCCACCACTTCCCTGGGCAGCCTGTTCCAATGCTTGATAACCTTTTAGGTGTAAAATGTTTTCCTAATATCCAATCTGAACCTCCTCTGGTGCAACTTGAGGCCATTTCCTCTTGTCCCATCGCCTGTGACTTGGGAGAAGAAACCAACCCCCCCGGCTACACCCTCCTTTCAGGGAGTTGGAGAGAGCGAGAAGGTCTCCCCTCAGCCTCCTTTTCTCCAGGCTGAACACCCCAGCTCCCTCAGCTGCTCCTCACCAGACTTCTGCTCCAGACCCCTCACCAGCTCCATTGCCCTTCTCTGGACACGCTCCGGCACCTCAATGTCTTTCTTGTAGTGAGGGACCCAAAACTGGACACAGCACTCGAGGTGGTGTAAAGTCAATCTGCTCTGTAGCCCTCAGTGTGGCACTTTCAGTTCTCCTCCAGCAGCCAGCAGTGGATGAGGAGCATGAAAACGTGCCTCCTTTCCAGGGCTGCTGCAGACCCATTGCATTCTGAGCTGAGCTGCCCCAGATGGCTGAACTGTAATGATCTCAAAATGTAGGCTTTCTGCTTAGAAACAGAGCCAACTGAGCTTTGGTTTTTTGGAGACCTTGCTCTACTCCACACTTGATGTAATCAGGGTAGCCTGATATAACCAAGGTAACGTTGATTGTAATTGAAAAGCAAACATTTGTGTTGAAAATAGCCTCTTGTAATGTTGCAACAATTTGTGTTGGTTTACTAGGGGTTGCTATGGACTAGCTGCTTTGGATAAACTTACAGGTTATCCTAATCAAAACCAAAATTCTCTAAAATACTATAATTCTTCTTAGTCTATGCATGTTTTATTTGGAAGTGGAATTGAAAACTTGTCTTCATAGCATTTCAGCTAAACTTTTGCAAATATTTGGCTGATTTAAATTTATTTTTGAGAGTGTTTCCATCAAATTCAGAAAAAAAAGCAGTCTTTTTTTTAAACAAATATTCTGAATTTTCTAAGGTCTCCAGTGCATCTTAAGCAATGGAGGTAAAAATGTTGTGCAAAAGAAGAGGTTTGAGACAAATATATATAAATATATATGATGCTGCAAGATTTTATTATTTTTTTTTAATTAAAGTAGAGATTGGTCTCAGCCAGGTAGCATTCATACTGGCTTCTTGTGTGGGTAGAAAATGATCCATTGCACCTAGAGAGTACCAGAGCCAACTGCCTGGGCAGCCAGAAGACTGAAACCACTTTTACTGGTGCAAAGCTTCTTTCTAACTGTTTCTATAAACCTGAGAACTGACTTGGCTGTTTGCTTACCTCCCTCTCATCTGACCCTAGCGAGCTTGTTACTTGTGCTGCTCAGTGCTTTTCAGGAACCCAAGGTGGTGGGTTGCTGCAGTGCCTCTAAACAGCAGTTTCGAGAGACAATTAAGAAAACTGTTTTATTTGCATCCAGGCGGCTGCCCATGAAGGTTCAGGCAAATTTTTTATAGAATCATGGAATTGTCTTGGTTGGAAGAGACCTTTCAGATCATCAAGTCCAACCATCTACCCAACAGTGAAAAAAGCCATCCCTAGACTATATTGTTAAGCAATTGATGTCCATGAGCTCTCAATGAGTAACACAACGCAATGGCTTAGGGTTTTGCATGGTATAAACCAGGGTGTAAATTTTGTACCTGTTGGCTTACTCATATTCAGGCCCTGCCTGATATTAATAGGAGCAAATCTAGTTGGATCTTCTTGGACAATGGTTATCCCATTTTCGAGCATCTATTGAGGTCTTGATAGGTCCTTTGATTCCATACAGCAAAAAAGCCAAGGTCTTTCAAACACGGTCACCGATCTGAGTTGTGTCAAAATGTCACTTTTCATCAGAGTCTGAACTGTTTGGGAAGAGCTACATGTGTTTGTTCCCATGTGCTCTGTCTTCCTCTCTCCTTTACTTTTTCCCCTACCCCACCCTCTTCCCTCCTTCCTGTCAAAACAGTGACAGCTTATGTTTTGCAATATGGGCAAGGTACGAATTTAGCAAAATTTAAAATAGTAGAAAATTTTGGCTGTCTTTAAAGTCTGCTTTCCTGTGTTGCCTAGCACGGGGGTAAAAAGTACCTCCACCTTGCCCCTCTCCCACCAAAAAGACATCAGTACAAGACACTATAATGCAAGACAATATATTCCTGTTAGTTAAAATGCCTCTTTATTTTTTAGGCGAACAAGCAGAGTCCTTTCCTCACCCTCCATCCCCCTCTCATGCCAAAACAAAGCAAAGGCCAGCAGGACCAGAGTGTGCGAATTCCACTGCCTCCCCCCTCGGCCACGCACCCCCTTCCCTCCCGCAGGGAGGTGAGCATCGTCCACACATCATCTGAGACAGGAACAATATAACACAATCTGTTTTCAAATTTTCTAAATATTTCCCAGCTTCCATTGCAGGCTGTTGTCTTCAGGCTGGAAATTTGTGCCAGGAACTCCCCACCAGCATTCTTCTCTGCCTTCCCGAATCATTCGGACAGCAAACAAACCTTTTCTTGACTCACTGGTTTCTGCAAAAAAAAAGTGTTTGTGTGTTTGTGTTTATTCCATATGAAGGAGGAATGGCTAGACTGCAGTTTTTACAGCTCGCAGCTCTCCAGTGAGTGCTATAAATAAGATCTTTGACAACACAGGGCTGCTTTCTCCTCTGCATATTTCTATCTGGGAACAGGACTTCTCCCTTCCCAGAGCACCCAGGGTGCTGCTGAGTTGGGTAGGAAGCAACTGCCGGGCAATTTTCTATCCCCTCCGAGCCCATAAGGCTCTGGGACATGTTGTGCCATCTATAGCTGGGTTTACTGTCTGAACAAAAAGCCTTTGATGTAATAAACGCTGTGTACAAAGTGCAGTTTCACGGGATAATATGATCATCTGTATTGCAGTGAGCTGTACTGAGTGGCTCAGTCTAGACAGGAATGTGTTAAATTAGTACCAGAACAATTCAGCAGACACTAGAATGAACTAGGAGAGGAAATTTTTTTTTCTACTTCAAAAAATGTGAGCTGTTCAGTGCCAAATAATTAAGTTGGGCTGTAGAAATTTTCAGTATTCATCATCAGAAGTACTTAAAGTGGTCACATTATGTGCTAGTCCTTGTCTGTGAGGTCCTCTGCACTTGACAGTTGCAAAATTGACTTCCCAGGGAGGTGGTGGAGTCTCCTTCTCTGGAGACATTCCAAACCCGCCTGGACACGTTCCTGTGCAACCTGCTCTGGGTGACCCTGCTCTGGCAGGGGGGTTGGACTAGATGATCTCCAGAGGTCCCTTCCAACCCCATAGCATTCTGTGATTCTGTGAAAAGTTTGCCCTGCCCTATATGAGCACATTTGTGCCTGGTCGTGACTACATTTTGAGCAGGAATAATCCTTGATGGTGTCCATTTGTTTCCTCACTGCTCCAGCAACGTAGCACGCTTGCATTTCTCCATATTCTTTCCTCTGGGTCAACCCACCTTCACTTTCTGCTTTTGTGAAGTGCTATTGGAGCAAGTGTCCTGCCATTGAGTGTTTGTGTTCCAGCTCTCCCGCTCTTCACGGAGCTGTTCCAACACAGAAAGCACAATTCGGTGATTAAAGCAAAGAAAGGAGGTTAATAGACTGTGGTTCAGTTTCTCAATAGGGCATCAGTAGCTGTCATGTTTTAAGTTCCTTGAGCCAGGGGATGTGACACAGTTTGCAGGCGTTCAGCGTCAGGCAAACACAGTGAGTTCCCTTTCCATTCCATGAGGAGCAGAAAGTTTATGTCTGACTTGAGTCTGCTCCCATCTCTGTGTGGTGGCCTTTTAACAGAGTGTACTTTGGGTTTCTCCACCGGTTTGAGCTAATACAGAGCTGTGGGCACCGTGGGCCATGCAGGCAATTCCTTTTGAGGCGATCTACTGCTAAACCAGCTCAACAGTTCTCCAGAGGAGCGTGAAGACTGCTTTTACAGCTGAATACAGTGCAAGGATTGAACTATGGGCCTTTCATCTTAGAGGTAGCTCCCTATCATATGATGTTGTTATGAAGAACAAAGTTAAATCTTCCAAAGTTTGGTGTTACACAGCTAAAAGTTTGCACAGGGCTTTAGAAAAACAAGAGCATCTACATTATTATAAAAACAGAGCTCTTACTTATATATAATGAGGTAAAGTGAATATATTACAGTTTAACAGCTGATTTGGAAAGTCCTTGTCACTGTTCCCAGAGTTTCAAAGTCCAGGAGTATGAAGAATTTTTGAAGAAACTAAGCAACCATAACTGCAATGGACAATTTGGACAAAATGGACACATGAAGTTCAACCAAGCCAAGTGCAGGGTCCTGCACCTGGGACGTGGCAATCCCAGGCACAAATACAAGTTGGGCAGAGAAAGGCTGGAGACCAGCCCTGATGAGAAGGACTTGGGAGTGCTCATGGATGAGAAGCTCAATATGAGCTGGAAACGTGCACTGGGAGCCCAGAAAACCACATCTTGGGCTGCATCAAAAGAACTATGGCCAGCAGGTCACAGGAGGTGATTCTGCCCCTCTACTCTGGGCTCGTGAGACTCCACCTGGAGTACTGTGTCCAGCTCTGGAGTCCTCAACATAGAAAGGACATGGACCTGTTGGAATGGACCCAGCAGAGGGCCATGAAGATGCTCAAAGGTCTGGA